GTGGGAGAGGAGGGTCCCTCTTTTCTCTCCTGTCTACCATCTTGGTACTTCTTTCTCCACCCCTCTGTCCCCCAGAAGGAGCTCTGGTGGTGCAGTGGTCCAAGCGCTCGGCTGCTCACTGAAAGGCCAGCAGTTCAAACCCACCAGCCTCTCCGTGGGAGAAAGACAGGCAGTGGAAACATGGACAGCCTTGGGCCCGCTGTGGGCCACGTCTGCCCTGCCCACCAGGGGCGCTGTGAGTCGGAATCAAGTCCAGGCTGCAGGCTTTCTGCCCCCCTTCCGGGGTGTCACTGCTCTCCTTGCCCTGTGGGGACCCACTCCATGGCGGTGGGGTCTCTTTCTCCTCTCCCCCCCCCATTTCTGTATTTCTCTCTTTCTTGTCATCCTTTTATCTGTCTCTACCTCCTGGCCCACCCATCTCTCCCTTCCACCCGTCTCTCCCTCTTCCTCCCCTCCCTCTCTGTCCCCACCTGTCTCCCTCCTCCCATCTCTCCTGTCTCCCTCCCCCTGTCTCTCCCTCTCCCCACTTCTCTCCTCCCGTCTCTTTCCTCACCTCTGCCCCCACTTCCATCTCTCCTTCCCCCACCCCTGCCAGCTCTCCTCACCGGCCCCAGGGCCCCCACCAATGCTTCCCCGCAGCCACTCCCCTCCGATCCCCAGAACCATCTGCCTCTGGGTGGGGTTCCCCAGGGCCTTGTCTCAGACACGACAGTTGGAGTGAAAAAGCACACACGTGTGTTTGTGGGTGTGACGGTGCGTGCGCTGTCATGGGAGGCACAGCCGTCTGGAACGGGAGCTGTGAGTGAACATCTGTCTGTCTGCACCAAACAGACGGGGGGGGGTAGCGCCCCCTCTGTGGGGATGTCAGGGTCAATAGGGTCAATCTCAGGGTCTCAGGAGTGAACTCAGAGAGCTGTTGGTCGGCTGCCTTCAGAGAGCCCACTGAGCTCAGTCAGCGCCCTGACCCATTAGGGAGATTGAGGCACAGTCGAGTGGGCGTGGCCTCTCAGAAGCCGAGAGATGGGGGACCCAAAGGCCTACGCTTCCGGCCCCTCAGGGACAGAAGACCCCGTGGAAAATGTCACTGCATCCATGCCTTCTTCCATGGGTTTAAACCCAGTGCCATTGAGTAGGTTCCAACCCTATGGGACAGAGAAGAACGGCCCCCAGGTTTCCAAAGCCGTCAGTCTTCATGCAAGCAGACTGCTCCGTGTTTCTCCGGTGCAACAGCTGGTGGGTTCGAACCTCTGACCTTTCCATTAGCAGCCAAGCGCTCAAACTACTGGCCCCCAGGGCTCCTTTGATTTTTTCACAGTCCCTTGAGTGAGGTCATTCTTGTCTCTCTTGCTGTGAGCGGCCAACCTCCCTCTCTCCCTGCGTCTGGACTCTGTGTGTCTCTGTATGGTCCCCTCTCCTCCCCTCTGTCTGTCTCTGTCCCTCTCTGAGTGCTTGGACATTCTGTCTCTCTCGCTGCCCGCCTCTTCCTCCCTGCCTGCCTCTCCCTCCCTGCCTGTCTCTCCCTCTCTAACCTGCCTCTCCCTCCCTGCCTGCCTCTCTCTCTCTGCCTGCCTGTCCCTCCCTGCCTGCCTCCCCCTCCCTGCCTGCCTCTCCCTCTCTAACCTGCCTCTCCCTGCCTGCCTTTGTTTCCCTCTGTGTCTGTCTCTCCGAGTTCCTGACTCTTGGTCTCACTGACTCCCCGGCTCCGTGCCTGTGGGCCTGTCTCTCTGGGTCTCTCCCTGTTCCCACCTCTCTTTCTCTGCCTGTATCTTTCCCTCTTCCTCTCCATCTCTAAGTGTCTCTGTGTCCCCGACTCCTCTGTTTGGGGCTGTCTGTAGGTCTGTGTTTGTGTATTTTCTCTCTGAACCTCTGCATCCCTCCCTGTCTCTCCCTCTTTCTGGTCCCCTCCTCCCTGTTCTCTGTGTCTGTCTGTCTCCCCTCTGTGTGTCTCTGTCTCCCCTCTTTCTTTGCCTCTCCCCTCTCTCTCTCCCGGGGTGGCCCTGCATTCCTGTCTCTCTCTTTCTGGGGCTTAACCTCTGTGTGCAGGAGCCCTGGTGGTGCAATGGTTAAGCACTCGGCTGGTAACCAGAAGGTCGGCAGTTTGAACCCACGCAGCCGAGCGTCTGGAGAAAGATGTGGCAGTCTGCCCCCATAAAGACCATAGCCCAGGAAATGCTGTGGGCAGTTCCACTCCATCCTATAGGGGCACTATGAGTGGGAATCAATACTCCTGGCTCTGTCTGTCTGTCTGTCTGTCCGCCTGTCCATGCCTATCCTCCGTTGGTCTGTCTGTATCTGGGGTGCCGTCTCTATGTCTGTCTGACTTTATGTCTTTCTGTGTCTCTCTGTGTGTCTACACCCTCTTGGTCTGTCTTTATCTCTGCCTGCTCTTTCTGGGGTGCTATCTCTGTATGAAGGAGCTCTGGTGGCCCAGTGGTTGAAGCACTTGGCTGCAAATTGAAAGGTCGGCAGTTCAAACCCACCAGCTGCTCCCAGAGAGAAAGATGAGGCAGCCTTCTGTAGAGACTGACAGACCTGAAAGCCCTAAGGTGACAGTTCTCTATCCTACAGGGTGACTGTGATTCAGAATTGACTTCATGGCAGTGGGTTTTTGTTTGCTTTTATCTTTGCGTGTTTCTATCTTCCTGGCTTTGTCTTCTGTCTCTCTGTCTCTTTCTATCTTCCCTCGGTCTGCCTGGAGCTCTCTGTATCAGGAGCTCTGGTGGTGCAGTGGTTAAAGCACTTGGCTGCTAACTGAAAGGTTGGCGGTTTGAGCCCACCAGCTGCTCTGCAGGAGAAAGATGAGGCCGTCTGCTTCCATAAAGAGTGACAGCCTTGGACACCCCATAGAGCAGTTCCACTCCGTCCTATAGGGTCGCTATGAGTCAGGATCTACTTGATGGTAGCGGATCCCCCCTCCCTCTTGATCGGCCTTTTCCGCTGCTGCTCTGTCTCTTCCGGCCTGTCCAGAGCTCTCCCTCTGAGATGCCAAGTCCTCACAGCCTGGATTTCCCCAACGAGGCCC